TTCGTCCCCTCTTTTATTTGGAAGCGAAGCTAACCACCAACAATGTTTTAGTATCTTAAATAGTTAAGCTAACACAGTAGGTCAGCAGTTAACGAGCTGCCAGCTAACATTATCTGGTGGTCTATCGTCTGAAACAATATCAGTAAGAAAGAGACAAAAGTGGATTAAAAGGTGTGGATCCAAAATGAGTTTACAATTGTTCAGATACTGCAGTACCATTTTGAGGGACTACTTTACTTGAGTATTTTATTAGTACGTTTCGCTACTTGTACTTCTACCCCACTACAAATCAGAGGTAAACACTGTGCTTTTACTCCACTACATGTATTTAATATCTTTAGTTACTTTGCAGATTCACATTAATAACAGCTGATTAAAGAAACCCTATCAGCAGTTACTTAAAATGTTTCTCTTTCTCACTTTCTCACTGACAGGAGACAGTACAGACTGACATGGCAGAGAGAGTGGCAGAGATGGAGGAAGACATTGGAGACCAGCCAGCTGGAGAGGATGACAATGACTCAGACAGAGATGAAGAAGAGAGACTGTTTGCTTGGATGGTAAACGATGATATGGATGAGGACGAAGAAGATGAGGAGGAGGAAGAGGAGGCGGAGGAGGAGGAGGTGGAGGAGGAACAGCCTTTGGACACTGAAGTATCTGAAACGTTTGAGGTGGATACACCAGCTGAGCGCAGTGGTCATATAGCAGTGGTTGACAGAAACATCATGTATGTTTGGGGTGGATACAAGGTAAGGAGCTTTATTAGATACATGCAGTGGCAGAGGAATTAATATATATATGTTTACATTATTGCCTTGAAAGTAGAAGTAGAATGTGCCATGAAAAATAATAATCTAGTAAAGTTCAAGTACCTCAAAGTTGAACTTAAGTGAATTATTTGACTAAATGTATACTCTTACACTACAGCTCTGGAAAAAAATCCTAAAAAAACACAGCATATTTATATAAATATCATTTTATCCTCCCTCTGTACAAGAATGCTCAAAACCATGGATTCTTTGACTTGTATCTGCCGAAAAACGAGATCTGGACATACAACATGGAGTCAGGAGTATGGTAATTGCTTTTATATTTAAAATGTATATTGATGCAATAGTCATGGGCCATAAATAACATAAAACTCTAAATGTTCACAGGACAAAGCATGCAGCCGGAGGTAATCTGCAAACGTCCAGGTCGGGCAGCTGTGGGGTGTGTGTTGATGGAGTCCTCTACTTATTTGGAGGTCATCACGCCAGAGGGAACACTAACAGGGTATAGTTTGTGTGTTACATTAGTTAATGTCCTCTGTCATTTTGTTTTAAATCAAAAGACCCTCGAGCAGGTCAGCCTGCTGTCTGAGATTATGTTTCAGAACTCCTGTATTTTGTGCTGTGCTTTGCAGATATACTGCCTGCCCCTGAGAGCCCCCGTGCTTGTTTGGGAGGAAATGAGTGATCTTAAAGGACCCCCTCCATCCTGCAAAGACAAGCTAGGGTGCTGGGTTCAGAAAAACAGGTTAGTGATGACTGCCTTTTTTCTCTTGGATGTTGCTGTTAAGATGAATGTGTTCTGTGCTTATGCAACATCTGAATACATGTTCAAAATCAGTCAAATTGTAGTGACTGGATTAGGAGTTTTTTACTATCTCACTATATTTTAGGAGAAAACAGAAATCCTATAGTTTGATAATAAAAGGGTTGTATCTTATTAACCATAAGATTCCAACATGTTAGACCAATCAAAACCAATATTGTGGTATATTTAGTAATCAAACTAAATCTAGTCTTTTAGCACAAATGAGCTACATCTTTATGTTAAGTGGCTATCAAGTTTCAGCCATGTGAAACGATTAACCATAGTATTAATGGTAAATACAAAATAATGAATTTGCAATAGTAATCACAGATTGTTATCTTTGTGGAGATCTTTAAGGGATTTTTGTCTGCTATTGTTTCCACAGACTCATATTCTTTGGGGGCTACGGCTACGCCCCGCAAGGAACACAGCAAGGGACTTTTGAGTATGATGAATCATCTTCACTCGTGGTAAACAAATATATACCGTATTTAATATAATATAAAATATTTTAAAAGCTGCTCTTTCCTTCCCTTGTAAAGACACAGTTTTATAATATTCTAAATACATGTGTTTTTTGGTTTGCTACTGCAGTGGAACATCCCTGGAAGAGGCTGGAACAACCACATCCACATCCTGGACCTTGAGACATCAACATGGAGCCAGCCCAACACCAGGGTAAACACTGACTAACAAGATCACCTCACACAACGTCATCACACACTCAACTCTCTGCCTACAGCAAACAAAACCAAATATTTGTCTTCAAACAGCCTCCTCCTTAAAAAAAAGAAGCGTTATCCCTATTTTCCTGTCATAATAGGAAGTTGTTATTTTATTGCTACTCTTAGACCCTCACGTGGTAATAACTGATTTTTAAATTTTACTCTGTTGATATGGCCTGATGTAGGGAAACGCCCCATCTCCCAGAGCGGCTCATGCTTGTGCCACAGTTGGTAACCGAGGCTACGTGTTCGGGGGACGATACAAGGTAAGGAAAATCTAAACTAGAATGTCTCGCGTTGGGTGTGGTCTTTGTTGTAAATTCTTCTCATACCTACCTGTTTACGATCACATAATGAATTCTAACGCCCATCTCCTTTGGATAATAGAACTACAGACTAAATGACCTGTACTACATTGACCTGGACACATGGGAGTGGCATGAAATGTAAGTTTGTTCTTCTCAAAGAGGAAAGAGTATAGTTTAAAAAACACCTTAATATCAGGTCATCTGTTGTGGATATTCAAAACTGACATAACTCTTTGTTGTGTTCTCCCCTGTCGCAGGAGCGTTCCTCAGCCTGGTCCTGTGGGCCGGTCCTGGCACTCCTTCACTCCGGTGTCACCAGACCACATCTTCTTATTTGGAGGTTTCACCACAGAGAGAGAGACTCTGAGTGAGTTTGACACTAGCAAATACTTCCTCGTCACCTCAAAATGATGGCTGGTCTCAGAGTTATTATCTGTATTTTCAGGTGATGCTTGGCTGTACTATGTAAGCAAAAATGAATGGAAGCCTTTCAAACACAGTTACACAGAGAGCCCGAGGTAATTCTATCGTATTACTTTCAACACTTTTTAGATTTTTGTAGATTAAGTTTTTCAGTGTGAGTGAACATTGTGCTATGTATTTCAGGCTGTGGCACACAGCATGCTCCGGTCCTGATGGAGAGGTGTTTGTGTTTGGAGGGTGTGCCAACAACCTTTTGTCTCATCACAGAGCAGTAAGTAATATTTAGTCCACATACTTTTGTTTTTACATTCTTTGAAGTCCCTTTTTACTAAACTTTGTTTCCTACTCCACAGGCTCACAGCAACGAGTTACTGGTTCTGAACGTTCAGCCCAAATCACTAGTTCGGTGAGTGTGAACCATATATAAACACCAGAATGTTATCCTTTTGTTATTTTGTACTTATGATGGCCTTTTCCCGCTCTTTAGGTTCTGTATGGAGGCCATTCTGCAGCATAGGGAGCGATTGTCTAATTACTGGGACTGCTTGCCTAAACACCTCCTGAACAGCCTCAAACAGAGGATGTCACGCGTCGACACACTGGAATCTCCTAGGCTACGAGAAACTCCAGTCCAGAGGATTGGATAATATACATGTATGTATGGATGAGTGTAATTGTCAAACCAGGTAGTCCTGTTAAAGCATAAGTTTAATGTGTGTGAACCAATTAAAAAAAGAATCTCCAAGCAATAGTGAACAGCTGTGGAAACGGTCTGAAGAGGGTCCAGACTCTTGCAAACTCAAGCTGTCAGACCATCCTCATAGCTGTTCATTACCTTTTCTGTTCATCATACAAACCTTTAGAAGAGAAGCAGTGCCAGTGACGCACTAATGTGAGTGAGAGTAGAGATCATGCATTACAATTGGGTTATTCTTTGATCTGATTTCTTTGCTAAGCATACTTTTATTACTCTGAGAGGTAACTGAAAAGGTAAAAATACAAGTGGTTTTCATCTCGATGTTCTAAGATAAATTGATTGCTACTTCTGTACTGTAAACTACATTTTTATTAAGATCAAACTTGACACTATGACAGCGCTTCTGTGTTTAGGATTCCAGTGAGGTTTTATTGTTTAATGCTTGAAAAATAACTTGTCTTTTTGGTAAAACAATGTGTTGTGCGTGCCAGTGCAGTAGTATTTACCTGCTAAGCTTAGAATATAGACAGAAAATCCCCCTCATGCTTTTCAGGAAAACCACTGAAAGAAACCCTGTGAGAAAATCCATTGTGTTATTGGAAACATAATTAGTTTTGAAAAGGGGCAGGACTTCCCTTTCCTCCATAATGTGTTAGGACATCCTGTAGGATAACCCTAGAGTTCCAGTCCTTACACAAACGCCAGTCGCTTTTTAAAATTTTAATTTTCACTGGTCTTCCTCAGAAGTTTAACTGATTTACTGACTAATGTCTTAACACTAAACGCAGCGGTGACCGGCTGGAGCAGGTTTGCTTTAACAGTGCAGATTGAGGAAGCCTGTTGCTTTAACGTTTGGCCTGATCTTTAATATAGAGGTTTTCTAAATCCTGGATAATTTAAGATCTCAGACCTAAAACTAGTGCTTTGTTACGCAAGACTATCTCCTCTGAAGTCACAGAAATGTGAATTTTTATTTATATATATATATAGAGAGGTATTTATATATTTGTGAGGAAATGTGTGGTGGGTTCTTTTTTCCGAAAGACGCTTTTAAAATTGTCATGAGTGGCCCCTGTAGCATTTTATTTTAACTTAAAAAACTGCGAGTGTATTGGATGATGAGCCAAGTTGCACTAAAACGCCTGATGTCAGTAGGGCTTTGTTTGAATTTTGCCTGGTTTGCACAATGTTCCCTTGATGTTTTGTATCGTACAACACAATGCATATTGTTACTTCATACTCACAGAATAAGCGCATACCATAAGGTGTGTTCTGTTCCGCTTTGTTAATTTACATGTTTTCATTTTGAAGAAATTGTATGTCAACAAATACAATCAATAATTAAAATAAAATGATTGATATTCAACAGGAGAGCTGTACTGTGATGCTTCTTGAAATGGAGATAAGGTTGTCAGAGTCCCGTCTGGTTGTGTTCAGCCCCCTCTCATTTCTTCTTGGCAGCCAGCAGGTTTGGAGCGGACACTTTCACTTTGCCTGGCATGTTCCTGGATAGATCAGTATCCTGCAAAACGGGACGAAGACGGAGGGGACACAGTTTTAATCATAACATCAAGAAAAATGAATTTCGAGATGAAGCTGTCAATTATTTTTTCCAATGGTTTTATTCTATAAATTGTTGGTAAATTAGTAAAAAATGAAGATGCCAAGGGACTCTTGAAAGTGCTTAATTTACATTTTATGACTTCAATAATCATAGTGTGCCATACAAATGTTATAAAACAGTCCCAAAAAAGAGTAATATATGTATAAGTAAACATTACCTTGACACTGCGCAGCAGGTCTTTTTCTCTGGTTGAGGCATCTCTGGCTTTCATGAAGCTGAGAACTGCAGTGCGTGCAGCTGGTAAGAACAAAAAGACAATCAATTATAAATAAAAGCAATTATTACTTTACAGTCTACTGTGAAAGCTTTACGAAGATTAGAATAGATCACTATTCATACCTTTTCCTTTCTTCTGGGCCCCTGGAGTCAGTTTAACTTTGTGTCTGTGGAAAACAACAGACTCATTTAGCTCCTGCAAACCTCACTTTGTCACAAAAAAAGTTCTGAGCACATACTTGTAGTTGGTAAGGGCGGTGTATGGAGCACAGACTGGCACCGCGAACAGCAGCACGTCTTCAGGATGAGGCTGGCCCGACAGAGAGGTGAGCAGAGTCTCCGCTTCCTGAGGCAGCACAAAGAAACACTGAAGTTAGACTGAAATAAAAGCAAACTGAATAGTGGATTCAAAGGCATCATGCCGAATTAACATCACCAAAACGTTCTTTTAATTGTTGAAGAAGATATACCATGGTTAACAATATAAACCCACCTCTGCTCCGGGGTTGTCCTGGTCCAAATCATCTTCCTGAAAGACAGGACAACAACGTTTATTTACTCCGTTTCATTGTGCAAGTTTTATAATGTGTGCATACAGCAGTATCTAATTCTATACAAAAAACACAAATAGTACATTTCGGACCCTGGTAGTGCATCGTACCTTGTCTTCCTGTTCTGCAGCACCTCCCTCCTCTCCGGGTTGTTTCTCCTCATCACCCTGCTCTCCTCCCGTCTCTGTTTTTTTCACTGCAGCCTCCACAGTACGGGGTTTGGGAGGTGGTTTCTGGGGGAGAGGTTTCCTGACAGTTTCGTCTTTCCCCTTCCCCTTCTTTCCTTTCTTCCCCTTATCCTTCTCCTCCTTAGGGGAACCGGCTGACTGCAGAAGAGAGACACTTATTTATTAAGTCAGACTCAAGGACTGTGCACGACAGCTGTCAAGTGTAATGAAGTATTACATGTTACCATTTAAGGTGACATACAGAGTAATACAATATTGGATTCATCCTCACCCCGAGCAGCTGCATCATCAGCTCCCTGTCCTCGTCATCCTGGTCTTTGTACTTCTCCTTGATCTTCTTTAACTTGTTCTGCGGTGACAACAGGAAAGAAATACAGAAACAACACAGGGAATTAATGTTAGAGAGCGGTTCTTTCTTTAAACTACTTTAGTCATTAAACAACTGGTATCCTTTACATTATTTTGTCATTTCAGACAATTATTTCATGTCATAAATAAAAATATTTTGATACTGCACAGATGCATTTCTGATCACAGCTTTCTTTTATCTACAGATAATGAGTGTTGCTTGCCTCCTAATCCCTAGTTAATTTACTAGAGTGTGTTCTAGTTTTCCTTTGAAGCGATTCTAAAACGTTAAAGCACTGTATATTGTTCACGTTATATGACAGTTATTGATCTGGTCCTAAGAACAGAACATCTGATCTTATCTCACTCCTCTTACCTTTTGGCCTCTCTTGGGCTGCGGCAGGGAGGGAACTCCTCCACCTTTGGATCCCTGATCGACTGCTGAGCCAGCAGATGGAATCTCAGTCTTCTCCTCCGTGTCGCAACCTTCCTGTTTCTGCTTCTTCTTCTTGTCTTCTCTAGTAGCAAAGACAGTTCAGAAATATTTCTAAGGGCTACATACAATACATCCCTCTGTATATGACTTGGTAAAAACCAGCCACCGGTCTAAACACTATCTGTTGCTAACGGCATCTTAAGTCTGTTGTATGTGCTGAACAGGAAGAAGTGCATGGTAACTAAGTTGTTATATTGAATTACATTCATTTACCTTTTCTGATTCGCAGTCACGTGTTTCGTCACCTGTGAGTCTAATTCCCCCTGTAGAGAATTAATCAATTCCTTTATGATGTTACTTCCATAAAACAGTTGTAATATATAGCAATAAATTACCTGAGTGGTCACTTCCTTTTTAAAGCCAGGGTTCTGAGTATTCCTAGAAATAAGGAGATACACTTTCATTGTCATTTGGAACGATTTAAGAATGTTGGAAGTTGGTCGAGGCCTTTACATTTGATCAGTGTTAGCATTGTAAAGGTAACATTACCTGCTGGGCTGTAAGTGAGAGAGGGAGATGGTCGTATCTGGAAAGCTGAATTCTTCACTTTCCTCAGTTTTCATCTCCTTCTCCTCCTCGCTGTCTCCGTCTCCTTCCTCCATGTTTTCCTCCTCAGGAACAGCGGCCAGTTCACTCGCACCATCATCTGCCTTTTTAATCTTTTCGTCCACCTCTCCATCTCCTGCTGCTCTTTCCTCCCCCTGGTCTTCATTACTGCTGTCATCACCTGCAAAAGCAAAAATAATCAGCTTTAAAACCTGATCATAGTTTATGCATACAGTTATTAGAATGAATCATTTGGTGTCTTCTACCTATCAGCTCCTCTCCCTCCTCTAACAGCTCGGCAGCTCTGGATGAGACGTCCTCCATGTCCTCCTCTATGGTCTTCACCTTTCTCTCCCCTCGGTGCCGAGACACGCTGTCTTCGTCGACCTGCAAAGAGACAAGCCTGACATTTAATCGTTTGAAGACAAAGAGTTAAACATGTACTCGGAGCTCATGAAAGTATTTTACCTTGAAGAGGAATCCAAATCCCATGATCAAGTAAGAAGGTGGCAGAAAGTTTTTCTTTCCTGGTGAGAAACGTGTCAAATGTTAGGTCCTCTGTTAGACATCAGCATAGTGTTGCGTTACAAAATGTGTACATATTTAATTTCAGTGTCATACCTCTGATCATGAAACTTCCAGTGGTCAGATACTCTCCAGTAGGAGCAGTCTTCGACACCTGAACACAAATTATAGATATAAAACAGCTTATAAATAAAAAATTATTCAAACATGTCGACTATATCAAATCCATTGTTTATGTGTATTTGCTGCATGTATCCTTTTTTCTTTTGATTCCCCCTGTCTGATAAAACACCCTGTATCTGTTTTATATTTGTTATTTTATAGATGTGCATTGGAAAATAAGAGTTGTTAAAATGCTGTGATATAATGCATTGATCTCTTTGTAGACTTTTTTAGCCCCTATTGATTAAACATTAAATATGTTAACACAAGTTAACAGCAAACCTCTTAGCTTGTTAGCAGCCAATATATAACTTTGTTATAACGTCAGCTCTAATCATTTAACTTACTAAAATAATGGCATGCGGTAAAATACATACAATAATACTCCTTATATAATTTTGCCTAATTATAATTGACAGGAACTGTGAAATACATTTAAATAAATACATATTAATTGCATATATTAGTATTATATTTGTTATATGTGATATAACACACAAACATGACAAGCTAGCATATTTAGTGGCCTGCTATGGATGACTCACCTGATGATGATGAACCCACCAGGCACTGGTGACGATTTTGGCATCCCAAGCAGCGCTGTAGCACACAGACATGGTGCCAGTTTCTGTCAGGGTACGAGGGGGGACGGGGATACCTGAGGGAGCAAGATGGAGAGGCGGAGACACACAAAAATGAGTGGAAAAATTAAGTATGTTCACAAACTGTAGGTCAAATAGCGAATGCAAAAGCAAAGGCTTACCTGAGGGGTTTTTGATGACACAGCTAGTTGCTCCATGGAGGTCAGCATGAACATAGATATCTCCTGAGAAAATAAAGGCATGCATGAGGGGATAAACTAGATCTGTTTGGAAGGAATATCATTTTCTTAAAAAGAAAGAGTGTGTTGAAGTTCATTCATTACCTGCCCGGAGGTAGCGCTTGACAATAATCTCGTTCTGCTGCTGATCTCTTCCTGCGATGATGAGATAATTCTCTGAGCTGATGAACCACAAGAACTTCTCGAACCTTCCAAAAGAAGTGAATCAGTTAACGGAATAAAGACTCTGCTGCTTGTCATGTAAATATAAAAATACTGCATCAAAGTCTGAATATGTAGAATTAAAAATGGTGATGTGTGTCTTACCAGTAGACTTTCCTGGCCTTCTGAATGGTGGTCACAGTCTGAACCTCTTTCAGGGTCTTCTGTGTTTTTTTCTCTGCAGATTTCATAGCCTTGAATGACATAAATACATCACATTAACACTTACACTGCAATATATCCCTATTTTGCATATGAACAAAGACTGGTTCTTGCCTAAAACCTGAGTGTAGAATCAAACAGTTTTCTTACCTTACCTGCCGCTTCAATGGTTTTATGTTCCTTCTTTTCAGCAGTGCGTTTAAAGTCATAGTACCTAAAAAACACGATGACAAAGTCCATCAGCTGTGAAAACAGCAACACACAATGCTCAATTCTGTGTTCGAAGGATTATGTTTGAACCTACTTTTTGGCATTGGCATAGGCAGATAGGCCAAGATCCACATCCACCAGCATGGGCTTGTTCCCTTGCAACTTCTTGTTCTGTCCTTTGTCTTTATTTTTGTTTTTCTTCCCTTTTTCCTCCACCGCATCTTTTTTCTCTTCCTCTTCCTGGTCTTCCTCAGAAACATAGGGGTTCCTAGGGGGAAAGACACATATAAGCACATAATGGTCTAACAATAGGCAGATCAGTTTGTGGGATTTCAGATGGTCTCACTTTAAGAGCATGGTGATATGGTTGGTCTTCAGCTTCAGGTCCTTGATGGCGCAGGCGACCGGGTCTCCAGCAGCTTGTGCGTCTTTGACGATAGTCCCAATCTCAGTCCAGTCCACCTGATTGGCCAGAGCACTGCGCACCACCTGCAGCGCCCTCTCCACCACAGGCAGGTTCATCTCCACAAGTTCACCCTTTACTCTGTCCACCTCCTGCAACACACCAGACAAGATTTGATATATTTGAAGCAAAGTCAAATTGAATTACTGTTGCATTCTTCTCAACACCAACATTAATGATTGCAGTGATGCTGACCTGAGCTTGGTGCAAAGCCTCCAGTCTCTGCACATGGTCCTTCTTAACATTGTCCAACTTCTTCATGGCCTGTTTCTCCTGCTGCAAGGCCTTCATGTCAATCCTCTGACTCTCCATCTTAGAAAAGAACTCGTCCACTGCCTGAGTGAGAGGATCACAGTAGATCAAGATCCAATAATTGTCAAAGGTGTGAATTCACATTGTTAAGGAGAAAGGATTAATAGTCTTTTTCTAAACAAGGCCTCACGAAACTCAACCAAATTAGAAGCTATGCCATTATTTACCTTATCAAAAGTATCAAACTCCAAATAGGGGCTGTTAGCATGTTGGGCAAAGAGGAATGGGTGGAATTCATCATACCTGTAAGTACACATCATGAAAAGGAAAAAGGTAGCTTAAGTAACATATCATGTATTGAATAGAGCTGCAAAACGTAGTAACCTTTTTGATAATCAATTAACTGTTTCATGCAGAAATTGCAGAAAATACTGTCTTCAGTTTTTAAAATGCGGAGATTTCCTTCTTTTCTCTGCTACTTTTAGTTTTTGGACTAACAAAGACCTTTGACTTTGTAATTTTTCACTATTTTCTGACATCTCATAGACCGAAAATATATAAAAGTATCTAGGACATAATCAGCAGATTAATCGGTAATTACATAATTGTTTACAGCAAACCACACATACGTTAGCAGTTCTTCAGTGGGTTTGCCTGGGGTTAAGCTTGGTTTCTTCTCACTCTTTTGAATGATGTAGCCCTTGAACAAAACAAAGCAGAGTTTGGGAATACAACACATCTATAACAACATCCCCAGGACCTTATAAGTACATACTGTTTATGAAAGACTCTTTACTTTGCCACTGAAGTTCTCAGTCTTCTCCATGTAGGTTTCTGCAGTCTGCAGGGCTTCCAGGATTTTAGGTGCAACTGAAAAAAACATTTAGATCAAATACTGTGCTTACAGAAAAACTGAATAATGGTGACCTCTACTTACCTTGGGCAGCATCAACTTGGCTGTCAATTTTGACAGAGCCCAGCAGTCCCGCCTCTATCAAACTGTGTTCTATCAGAGTGGCTCCATAAGCTAGAAGTGTGTGAGGAAAGAACACCAAACATGGTTCAGTCTGTTGATTTTCTGATACATGATAAACAAATAAACTCAAGTGTATCTGTTTCAAGTCAAACATTTCAAACTGGGGGCTGTCTACTTACTAAGGTGAGGGTTCAGGACCTTTTTCACTTGCTCTCCATTAGTTGCTTTGCTGAGGATTTCAGTGAGTCTGCATGAAGTAAGAAAAAAGAGAGAAACACTCTAGTATAAGAATAATATGTTTACTGAATTCTGAAGGATGCGCATTTAGTTTAACAAGCACTTGTAGCACTTACCGTTCTAAACTGATGAGCGGTTCAGGGGGTCGGGCGTTCTCCACAGGGTACCGCTCTCTTACAGCAATCTTCACATCCTCTTCTGCCTCCGCTGTGCGAAACCGCAGCAGGTTCAGGATGGTGTACTCATGGTCTACAAGAATGACATTTCCCTGCAGATAGATATGAATAGAGCAACATTTAAATGCACACACAAAACAGGTCATGGTTCAGGTTTAGAGGGTTTATGATCGAACGTTAAATATGTGCATCTCAAAATACTCTCTCACCCTGTCATACAGTTCAATAATCAGGTGGTAGGCAGCCTCGTCTGAGCCAAACTGGAGGTCAACAATCCTGTCAATCCCGAGCTGCTTAACCTGGGTCAACCGCCGTGACCTCAGGTGTTTTCGGCACTAGAGAAAGCGATGTTTAAATACTCAGTTCCATCACTACTGATACATACTGATACATACTGTATATGGAATTCTTGGTGAAATCTGACTGACAAAATATTATAAAAGCCTAAAATACAATTAAGACTATACAGTCATGATAAAAAAAGTTGTTCAGTGTTATTCAATCAACAAGATGTTCATACTTTCATTGCAAAGCCTGAAGGCATCATGTTCTTTGGCCATTCAAAGTCTGTGGAGTGAATACGAGTCCCAGACTCAATCAGGATAATAGCTTTGAAGTCAGGCCTGAGAAAAAAATGACACACTGAGTTAGCCTATACATACTGACTGAAAGGTGGAATATGAGAATGTATATTTAGCAGGTTCTGTACTTTTGAGGAACATAATACTGTATACTTCTACTCCACAAGGTTTTTTGTGTATTGCAGTATTGCACCTTTATACATTTTCTTGCCAGCTGACAGATATAGGAATGTTCATACAAAACGTATAGTGAAGTGAGCTTATATAATTTCAGTGAAAAGGCCACTGCCACCACTGCATACTTGTAATGTAAATATAATCACAATTTAGAACAGATATTGTATTTGCAATAGTGTATTTGCTTTCTTGGCATTGCTACTCTAAAGCTAGTAGCTACATGAAACAGGATTGAAACTTTTGGAGGCAAGTTTTCCTTACTTTTGCAGTCGGATAAGATACGTCTTGTTGTCGATGTCGTAGACGTTGTTTACTCTCATGCCAATGTAGCTGTGAATGAATGAAGCAAAAACAAATGAATGGTTCGTCAGCATTAGCAGCAACACCCAAATGAGCGATAGTTAGCTTAGCCACCTGGCTACTGGCAATAACACATATCACGTACTTAGCATTGATCTCGGCAATAACTGCCCTGATATCCATGGTGGTGAATCTCGTCTTCATGGTGACCGAGAAGTTGACTACAATTAGAGAAAATAAATGTAAACACTGAGAAATTCACATGTCTATTGCAACATCAGCAAGGAAAACATGCAGGGGGACTACTGAACATGCGCACAAATGACAAGTTTCTACGGAAGCCGAGGTAAATCAAAATAAGCAGGTCCACGCCTTTTCCCCCACACAGTAGACGAGGGAGAATAGAATGCATTGATTGTGTACGGGTGCACTGGTGCCTGGTAACGTTATGCTTTGACATGAATGCAGTTGACCTGTGATGCTTTTGCAGGGACTCGTTATTACAAAACTAATGGTAGGATCTTTAGCAATAAAAGTGCAATTCTAATGATGCACTACTCAAACTGGCTTATTGGCCTGAAAAACAGGGTAAGCCTTCGAAATGCACGCAGAACACCACCTAACATCGACTGGGGAAATGTGGTCGACTTGCAGAACAATAACCCGCAGTCTAAGCAGAAGATACACGGGGTTACGGTCACCAACCATCTCTGGAAAAAAGGTAAGGAGGTGAATTAGGGTTGATATATAAACACCGTGGTTTAAAAAAGTGGGCCTGAAGCGAGACAAAGCTCGACTGGTATTTTTTGTCATGCTCGGCAGGATATAGTGTGTTGTTTCTTTAATTCTGGATATTTTAAACGGTACCGCTAGAAACAGGAAAACCGTTTCCAGTTTCCTCCTCAGGTCAGAGTGGAGGGCGAAGGCGTGCTCCGTTACCAAGGCGACGGTCAGCTAACAGGGCTTGCTAGCGGGGCTAGGCTAATACCCGCAATGCGAGTTTCGTGTTCTTTTGTCACCGCGATGCGCAGGAAAACAATAATTTTCAACCTTTACGTTGACATGTTCTGTCCGGATACGTATGTTAGGGATAATCGACTTACATGTGGCGGATAAGACACAAAGGAATGAATTGTAAGTGGTGAGATACCTAACGGCTGAGCAGCGTGATGACAGGTCGTTAAGGGTCCTCTTCACAAAGAGAACCTATTTTGCTGTTTTACGCTTAGTTTTTAGTTTTGTTTCAGTAGATGTTTCCGAAAATGTTGACCACTGTGGATGTGATGTTTTAGATACCTGACCTTACCTTTCAATGGTCAAAGGTCAATGACTGAATTGCGGGGTTTTTTTCCAGTTGTTGTACAGTTCAATTAGTTTGCGTTTAGTTAGCTTGTTTGAGGGACAATCATCTTTAAACAATAATGATTATGATCTTTCAATTGTTTAGGGAACATAAGCCAGTATAACTGCTACCTTCAACTGAACATCAGATTCAGATGTTTTGGTTTTGTTTGAATTTAGTTCAATGTAACCGGGGGCTTTAGCAGACATATGATAACTGAGCTGCACATGATTAGTTGTTGCAAGTTGTGTATTGTTAGGTTGTAACTGAATACATTATGCTCAGGTACTTTTAGATCTATCAATTTTATGCTACTTTATATTTCCACATGTTGTCCTTTAAGTAAATATTTATAATGTTGTACCTGTGCTTGACAAATTATTTTTGAATGCAATACTTTTACTTGTAACAGTGTATTTGTACTGCTATTTTTACTTAAGGAATATATCTGCATACTTCTAGACTGTCTTGTGTCTATCTAATTATTTTTTGACAGAATGACCCTTCATTTAATGTGCTTCTGAAGTGATTAGAGGATTAGTCAAAATAAACACATTTTCCCATAAATATAATGTAGAATATAAAGACAATGTTTTCTTTAATAGTCCCTATTCTTATTTATATTGTCTTTCAGGCTACAAAACAATCAAGAAAATCGGGGAGGGGACATTTTCCGAGGTGGTGAAAACTCAGAGCCTGAAAGATGGGAAGTTCTACGCATGTAAAACCATGAAGCAGACAATTAACAGGTATGTACTCTGCAACAAAAAGGTGTCCTTTAACAATACCCTGTTGTGTATGGACACTTGTAACTGGAGTCATCAGCTTGACAACCCCTTCACCTTAAGTATTCTTTTAGATGTCAGCTTATCCGTCTTTGACCTTGTACTATGAGGTAACAATAGACATCTTGAAATGTGAGTTGGCTGTTATCACAAACTGTGCCTTTTAAATTGTTTCTATCCTCTTGTGTGTTACAATGCCAATAAACAGCACATATGTAATTTTAGTACACAAATAACAGCAATTTACTGTATATATGTACACTTATATGCCATATCTTCACTGTCATCAAGTCTGGAGCAGGCCAATAACCTGCGGGAAGTCCAGGCAATGAAGAGACTGAGCCCACATGCAAACATCATCCAGCTACATGAGCTGATTTTGTGAGTATACTAAGTGGTGTAGATTGTGTTAGTGTATTGCCTCAGGCGTATTTCATGCTGCATGCCATATTCATCTAATGCTATTTTTCAGTGACAAAGAAACTGGAACTGTGTCTTTGATTTGTGAGCTGATGGAGATGAACATCTATGAGTTAATTCAAGGTATGTCTGCAAGTAGGAGCATATAAAAAATCGCAAAATGGAAACTTGAAGTTGAACACAAGTGTTTCTGTAAACTATGTATGGATTTTTGGCTCATATGTTATTAATTCCTTACAGGGAGAAAAATGCCACTGCCTGACAATACAATAAAGAACTACATGTACCAGCTTTGCAAGTCACTTGAACATATACACAGGTAGTTATGAAAAAGCTTCAGTTCATGTAATGTTGTTAATTAAAACGCTAGTAACTGTTTTTAAATTGTTTTTCCCATCTTCCTTTTTTTCCCAAGCTGTGGGATATTTCACAGAGATGTAAAGCCAGAAAACATTCTCATCAAAGTAAGATACAGTTTTATAACAATTTGCTTTACTTAAACATAGCAGAGGTATTCTATGTTTTTATCATAAAAAAATCTTTGTACAATTGCAGCAAAATGGTCTGAAGCTTGGCGACTTTGGCTCGTGTCGCAGTGTTTACTCCAAGCCCCCCCACACCGAGTACATCTCCACACGCTGGTACAGAGCCCCAGAGTGCCTCCTCACTGACGGCTACTACGGCTTGAAGATGGACATGTGGAGCGCTGGTTGTGTCTTCTATGAGATCATGAGGTATCACTGCAGGGGAAGGGCATTTTTCTAATACCTAAATAGGACAACAGTTTGTGAGTCAAAAAGACAGAATAGGAACACTCATAAGATTATACATGACAATGTTATCAATGTCTGCCTTTAGTTTTTCACATTCTAATAGATTGAGCTTGTCTGCAGCCACTAGCATAAACAAATATCAAACAAATGCTATGTAAATAGTTTGGTTGTGACAGTCAGGTACTTGCGTGTTTCAGCTTGAATCCTCTCTTCCCTGGAACCAATGAGTTGGACCAGGTTGCCAAGATCCATGACGTGTTGGGGACACCGGAAGAAAGTATCCTCCAGAAGTTAAAGCAGTAGGTGTTCCTCTTTAAATATGTCATTTGAAGGGTGTGTGTCATTGTTACAGTAGGTGCAGATACACACCTTGATTTGCTTAATAAACAAAGGCTTATCATGCTTTCTTAATTTCTGGCAGGTCTCGAACTATGCAATTCAACTTCCCTCCTAAAAAAGGCAGCGGTATCTCACGGTTACTCCCTCACCGCCCGGCTCCAGCTCTGTCACTTCTCTATCAGATGCTCGCCTATGACTCTGATGAACGCATCACTGCAGAAACAGCCCTGCGGCACACATACTTTAGGGAAATCAGGTAAACCATGCAAATTAGAATTATTTCATCACCTTAAGATGAGAACATTTCAAATCGGAGACAAAATACTTTTAAATGTAATAGAAGTCTCCCTTGCTCAATGTTTTCCCCAGGCTGGCAGAGAAGAAAGCCGAGACGCTTCACAGAGTTTCTGGGACTATGGATGAACTAGACAGTGGTGGGACGTACAACTCCTTAGATCACATCTGGCGTCCAACCAGACTTGGCAAACAGCTGAGGGGAAGACACACAAGGCAAACCCCTTTAATAAGCGTAAGTCAGAGTTTAGGGAGAGACTCTTCAATTGATTCTGAAAGCAAATGGCAAACCTGTAATTAAAAAAAATATATATATATATACAGTAAAATGTGGATTTGGATGTTTCCTTCTCTACTTTTCTAAAAATAAAGACCATGTTATGTAAGCAAAATAGCCAAGAGGAAAGCCAAAATTGACCAGTTAATGAAAAATTATGCATTTGTCGATTGATTTCAACTAAAGTAAGTTGTCAGAAATATGAATACAACTGCTTTGTTTTCATGCGATACTTCCACCCTCTCCAGCACAACATGAAGCATGTAGCAGAGCCTCTCATCCGACGGAACATCCCTCATTACCCTGCAGAGCTGCCCAAGCTCAACATGGTAGTACCAGGACCACAGATGCCTTTCCCTGTCTCCACTCTGCCTGCGTTTACCGTCACCCACAGAGGCACACTGCCAACCATCCCATCTAAAAAGTGCCAGACAAGGTTGTCCAAGGTAAACACAGGAGTGCTGCACAGATATCAGGCTTTTTACATTACAGTAATTTAATGTACCTTGGTAGTTCTTTCAGTTTTATTTGGCATTCACGCTACATTTCCTTTCTCCACAGCCCAGGGATGAGTCGCATCATGCTGCTTTCAAGACCTACTGCATTCCACCTCTGGATAGGAAACATGGAGGCTGCTGAGAGCCAAAACACTTCCAACGTTTTATTCAAATTTGCCTCTTTAAACAGGACGGATCAGTACTGTCAAACACATCGTTGAGAGGACAATGTTTGGACAGGCCTGATGTTGAAATCTGGAAAGAAAACAAACATGTTTCACAAGACAATGCAACAAAGACCGCCAAGCCTGTCGTCATAGCAGCTAGGATAGCTACATTAAAGCGTTCAACCCCCACTCTAAGAAGTTCAGTGTGATATCTTCACAAACAATATTAGAGGTCAATACTGTCGTTTTGTCATGACCTCAGTGTTACCTGAACTGGTAAGTGGTTACATGTTTACAAGTGTTAAAACATATTTTTTCTTATGATCTTATTACACAAGCTAAGCAATTTGAAAAACATAGACCGCTTGCTGTTTGAAAGATTTGACCAGATCCTCGGATAGAATATGGGAACATTTGAAAACTACGCTGCAGTATGTTAATGTCCAGAGTTCTAGAATTTGTGCCAGGACTTTGATCAAACACTACAGTGACTTATTAATCAGCTGTGATTCAAAGTGGTAAAGCAATAAATAGGAAAAACTCCAAGCGCAGGGTTGAATACCTTTTTTATAGGCACTGTATACTTGTGAGTGTCTCTTTCTTAATAGCTATGAATAAACTCCTCCGAATTAACTGATGTTAGGGCAACAGTCTTCCTGTGCAAAAGGTTAAAGGGAAAACCATTCACTTTAAGTGCTTCACATTTATCCTTAGCAACAGTATTGTATATTAAAAGGCACATCACTTAATCAAAACTGTAATGTAAATAAAAGCCCGCTGTGGGCCACAAAGCAGACTTGGAACAACTGAAAACAAACTATTCGCCCTTTGCATCACCTATGTATGTGAAGACATCTGTATTTTATATGGACTTAAGAAAGTTCAGAATTTTTTTGCAGTTTAGTTTAGAATGTAGCTCAGCCAGAACCTTCACTGAAGCAGTGTGGCTAAAAACATGTTATTTAGAGCTGTGAGCTCAGTACAATGGACTGGGACTCAGTCTGCACTTTGTTGGTTATTGTGATGTATAACCAGAGTAAAGAAGTTTGCCGTCATTTGTATGTCGTCATTAAACCACAATATATACCTAATTGTCTTAGTTTACAACTCAATCAAAAATGTTAAGAGAAAAAAAATGGTGAGAATCTTTTTTTTTAATAATATATATAAGAAAGTGGGAAATGTAAACTTCTAATCAACTTCAAAAATATATTTGCTTCACAGCTAGCCTAAAGTTAGTTCGTTGAAATCTTCTTAGCATTATCAATAGCTGGTTATCATACACACATATACAAGTACATGAATACTGCAGTGGTGTGAAAAAGGCAAGAATCCTTGTTGGAAGTTCCTTTTCCTAAATTATTCATGTGGCTTTTGGGACATTTCTTAAAAAACAAAACGGAGGATTTAAACTCCATGTTTCATTCACAGTGATATTCTGTGAATGAGGCGTAAGGCGAGCTCGCATCAAGTCATTCTGAGATTCACTCGTCTCAGCTTCAGAGACTTCCAGACCTGACAGCTGCTTGGGCATTTTGACAATAAAAACAATTTTCAAACATTACAGTTTTGTTGTGTAAACACAGCACACGTGGGTGAACAAAAAAGGAACAGAAAACAATGTATTCAAGATTATTTTAATATTATTAATATGTATACTTTAGGCTTTAGAAATATAACTATCAATGAGAAAATTTCCACTGGAATAATGGTAGTTTGATTAGGCCCCCAACAAATCAATTAATTACAATATACATATTATGATACAGAGCAGTTTTGAATCTGAAATAATATTAAAATAAATGCTAAATAGATAGAAAGGTTTTAATAGTTCTTTTTTATGATTTTTCTTCACCTACTGTTATTAGCCATCTGTGAGCACACCCAAAAAAGTAAAGCCATCTTCTTCTACTAAACTAATTTAAGTGCAAATAATTTGTTTTCTTTAAAAAGACTATGATTGCAGCATCCAACTTTATAGATTCAGATTTCAAGACTGAGGACGTTCACGCCGAGTTCGACAAGGCAGTCCTCGGCCCTTCTCTTTTGTTCCATTAGAGTAGTTATAAAAATAAACAACAAAATCAGTGCAAAGTCCTTGATGGGAAGATTCTACTTGAGAAAAGACAGAAGGGATGGGTCAATGTGGATGGATGCAACATTTTCGGATGCTCCCGCACTTGGTCGTAAAAGGATAGTTCATCCAAATGTCTGGTTCTTGTAACCCTGAGTAGGGATTGGGCTACAGTAAAAGGTTTAAAAAAAAAAAAGGTCCATTATGAAAATTAAATAAACTATCACTTTAATCTAAAGCCATAATTATCTGGTTTGCATCTCTCAGAGCCAGAGGGGACAGTCTGATGACATTTGACATGAAAGAAAGATTCTTTTTAAATCTAAATAAAATGTGTTAAAACTCTAGAGAACAATAGTACATGAACGCATCAAGTCCACAATTGCACCACCACACCTTTTCTTGCTTCATTCCTCCACTAGGTCAAGTGGGTGATAAAATAAAAAAATAGAAAAAGCCATTAACAAAATCAGGGGGGGGGGGGGGGGGAGCGAAGGGGTTTAAAAGAAAAGGAAAACTTGCAATGCTTGCAGGGTGAAGAGCAGCATCAGACTGGGTTGCAGGGTTCTTTAGCAGCAGAAATATTGTGGCTATACTACTGTTCCACTGGGAGAGCTGGCTTGGTTTTGGGATGACAATAAACCCTGGAAAAAGGAAAACAAGGAGATTTGCATTGGGAAAGTTCACATACTGAAGCAAAAATCAAGCAACAAATAGCTCAATAAAAGTGATCCTCTAGCTTCTTCCTTCCATATCCCAGTCCCCTGCATTTAACTCAAAGCCTGTGTGCAGCAGTCAAAGTGGAGAAGAGTATACAGTGCAAAACTAACGGTGTCTTTAACAGGTTTGCTTCTTATATAAATGACCAGGTCAATTTCCAAAGGCTTTTTTTTTTTTTTTTTTAAACCTCCTTGATCTGACCTTCAAGGAAATTGTTGTCCTTTTAATTTACACAGGGCAAGCTTGCCAAACTGTTAAGTATCATACTTTTATAACATAGTATTATTCAGAATGTATAACTTCTACCAATGTTTTCCGGGATCAAATTTGTTCAATTTTCACAGGACACTAATGTTCTTGTTTTTACTTATTAGACATTTCATGGCGCCTGTTAATGTAGATCTAAATGGACAAACTAGCCGTGTGTACGTTCCAGATCCATACCGTCATGTGCCTTTTTCTGGCAAGGCCTCTCAAAAACACAGACAACAGGGAAGTATACAATGGTGTATACACATTAAGCTGTAAGCATGCGAGGCACTGCAGAGATTCTTTTGGCGCATACAAAGCCATTTGCATAAAGCTAAAATGCGAGCGTGTATGCAGATAAGTTCTTGGCTATGCTGCTTTGCGTTGTGGGATGATTAGGATGAACCAATGAACACACTTCATATGGATTCAAGTCCCCTCACAGGTCTACACAGCAAATCAGAATGCATTATATAACCAGACTAATATTTCCATAGCAGTGGTTATATCTGAAACGTAATAGGTTTTTAAATTGGAAAGCAGATTTACATTTTTAAAAAGTGATATGTTACTTGCCTGCCTGCAGAGTGACAATCTGACTATAAAAGATAAAAATGGTATTTCCAAATGTCCATACTTTTATCAGAAAATGTATTTGTTTTGTCTTGATTTTTTTTATTATAGCCCACCAACCGATTTTAGCACAGCTTATGATTGAAAGACATTTCAAATTTCCCCACATTTCCTAGATTAAAAAGAACTTACCACTTTGCCTGGCCTCGCCCATGTGCAAATAAATCCTTCCTGACAAGCAGTCACTAAACAGTCCTCTAAAAATATGAGTACAGTCAGTCTCTCGTGTGCTATCTTTTTACAGATGAGGGGCTCGAGGAGGGGCACATCCTCCATGCGCGGGCACAGCAGAGTGCCCAGAGTCTTAGCAGGGTCTGTTTTGGTTTTTGTGAGCAGGTTGAGCTTGTCGCTGCTCTTGCTGCTGATGTGGCCCATGCTGTGGTTGCGTTTGTGGTCCTTCTCGTGGTGGCGTTCCTTCCGATCATGGAGTGACAGCGTGGCAAACTTACTCACACCTGTAGCAATGGCACTGTCCATTATACCACTCCCGATGCCGCCGCCACCACTGCTGGCTTTGTTGGTGTTGTTTGTCGTCGTCGTTGTTGTTGTTGTTGTGGTGGTGGTGCCGGCTGAATGGGGTAGGCTGTTGGAGCGTGGTAATGTAGTGGAGAGGGAGTTAATGCCAGGAGTATTGGCACCACTGTTGTTTCCATTAGTAGTGTTACTAGAGGCGTTAGCGATTATTGGAGCACCCGCAGGGGGGCTGGTAGCATTCATCACGTTAGTGTGTGTCCGTGTCCGTGAGAGTGGAAGATGGGGGAAAAGGATGTCCTCAGTGAGGTCCCATAGGCACAGCTGAGTGTCCTGGCCCACTGAGCCAAACCGGTACGTGACGCTAACAGGCCGGCTGTCCGTCGAGTTGCGCTTGGAGAGTCGAGACTGCGTACTGTTGGCCCGGTCTCGTCCGAAGTGGATCATCTGATCCTGGAAGTCCTCATCGCTGCCACTGAACTCCATCGGGTCACTCTCTTCCACGCTGGTGGTGTAATGGTCAAACGCCACCACACTGACCCACGACTTGTGCCCATGACCTCGGGCGATGACTCTGCAGTCCAAAAACGACCACACAGTCACTAAATCGTCCTCTCCGCCTGCAACTATGTACTTTCCATCAGGGCTCCAGCACACACACAACAAGCCACCAAAGTAGCTCTTCATGGTGCCATGAAGCTCCACCGCATCAAAGTTGAAGACTCGTAGGAAGCCGTCTTGGCTAACACAGCCTAGGAACTTCCCATCCGGAGAGAAGGCAAACTCATTCAGAGCCCCCTCCCCCACTGCCCATTTAAGGAGAGGGTTCCGCGTGGATTTACTCTTACATGTGTGTACAGAGTAGTTCTCTCCCTGTTTAAGCACCTGATAGTGTGGTGCCGTGGTGCCACAAGTATGCTCCACATTGTATAGATACATATTCCCACTGGAATGAGAGACCAGAAACAGGCTCTCAGAGCCTGGCACCCACTTCACGCATGTTACTCTGGTCTTGTCTATTAGTCTCTGACAGGAGGGAGCGATGGTTGAGTTTGAGAGGCAGACGGGGGGGAAAAGAGAAGGGAGAAGGGGAGAGGAAAGCAAATCATGTCAGCACAGTATCAGCAATCAATCAAACATGTTGAAAGTGTGACAATTGTGGGGAACAGAAAATACAAAAAGTAATAAAAACAGTACATAAAAGCTTTGGGAAATCTTTGAACATATTACACTTTTTGTCATTCACAACAATAAATTATCATAGGAAGACTGAAGAGTGTACTTCAAGGATACTTTTTGTTCATCTATTTAGGGAAGATTTTTTCCACACAACTCTAAATAATGTAACCTCTGTCCATCAGATGCTTACCTCTTCATTGAAGAGCTTGCTTGTCTCCTTCTTGATGGGGTCAATAAGCTGTACCTGTCCTGCTGAGAAACCCACCAGCAAGGACACACTCTCTGCTGTGGCTGTGAGGTGGTTGAAGTCATGACAGGTAGGCTGCGTTCCCTTGTAGATGCGCTTGTCTATGGGCTTGCTCAGGTCAGCAGCCTGAAGAAAGAAAGTGTGCATGACATGAAGTTAGAGCAGTAACTTTGAAAACCATCTCAAATTAGTCTATGGGCTTTGTTGCATGACAAAGGCTATTGTTGTCAAACTGTCAGAAAACATACCAGTGGAGAAAAGTTTGGATTTATACTTTTTCTTCCTGTGCTTCATCTCAAACACAGAAAATAGAATTTTAAAAAGGAACTGAAGGGACAAAGTTAATTATTTTAACCCAGTACATTTGATTACATTCTTGTTCGATAAAAGGTTCCTGCAACCAAGTTTAAGATAAATGACATCTGAACTCATCCATTTTAAAAAAGGTCAAACTGAACTTGTTTGGTCACTGATTAACTGTTCTCTGTATTTGGATAGATGTTAGCAATCACACTGTATGATGTACACTTTGTTATTAATATCAGGAAACATTATTCTACTGCAATGAACAAAACACCTTGGGCATATACTGCACACAACCAGTTTTATTTGTTAATGATTTACATTGCACACTAGGTGGAAGAGTGGAACATTCGAAAACCACTGAGTCATCATATTCCATTACTGATGGATGTGACACGAGTGTTTCTCTCTCACCTAAACAAATGTCAATGCTTTTAGAAAGTGCTTTGATTATTCACATTATCAGCAAAAAGGGTACACAAACATGCCATGTCAACAGTGCTAAGGAATACTTTGAAGGTTATGGATATACATTACAGGAAGAAAAAAAAAGCTGCTTATTTATACATTGTTCATACATCTTACTATTTTTTGCCTAAATGTATCTGTTGCAGCTGTACAACAATCTGTGATTGTTCCAACTTCTGGTAGTTTAGCCTTCAGCTAAATGCTGATTTACAGTGAAATAATGGCACACATGACAAGCACATGACAAGCACATGTCACTGTGAATAATTTAAAAAAGGCCATGACACATTCCTTTTCGACACAAATTAGAAATCAGCTGATTCCTGTCAATCTGTGATGTCAAGTCAGCTGTTAGCTAAACCACTTGATGTAAGGTTATTGACAAAATACAGGACTGCTTTGAGATTGTTAGTATTGTAATATAATAATAATAATAAACTATGTTAAAATACTGAAAGTGAACAATTATGTTATTTCCACTAGTCCTCCACCTTCTGTTTAACAACTAGCAGTATTTGTCAGGTGAAACCATCACCATACAGAGCTTCCAGAGATGTTTAACCCTAACAAATACAGATTACTACCACACTGTACGCTCAACAATAACAGTCACAGCTACATTAACTAGCTAACGTTAGCATTCCCCTACAAGCAGAGAAAGTCAGCCTAGTTCCATGAGACACATCCCCGAGCTAAAAGCTGAGTCAGTGCCATTAGTCAGAGGCTGACTGCAACGCTTAGCCTGCTAGCTGAATGACTGTCCTAAAACTGAATCGACATTATTTTTGATTTGTCGACACATGACAAAAGTCGTCGACAGGTGTTATGGGTGTCAACCTGGTGTCAACGCAAGAACTGTCACTGTCACTACAAACTATACCAGAAATGCTAACCCTGATAACTTAAATCAAAAGCTCCACTTTAACCGACTGATCGTTATCAAATCCCACTTATATACCATCCAACTAAAACCAAAACAGATTTCCGGACTGTGGACGGAATTTAGCCCCTGGCCTCGGGAGTAGCTGCTGCTAACGTTAGCTAAATTACGTTGGCTAGCTTCAGATTAGCTTCAAGCTAACAAGCTGCCTGCTAATTTGAAAGTCAAGCACCTGTCAGAGTTATTTAATAAAGCCCACAAAAGTCCATATTTCAGCAACAGCTAGGCCAGAAATGAAGCTTTTCAACATGCCGTATCCCGGGTTGACGCGCTACCTTTCTAACGCCTTTGTAGATGTAGAAGTAGAGCTCACGGCCCACATTGAAACAGATCCTGTCGCCGTTTCCCGACTGATCGTTGACGTTAACGAAAGAGACCTTGACTGGGTTGGAGCCCTGTGAGTTGAAAGGCACCCTGTTGGGACGGCTGTATTCGGAGTGAGTGAGGAGCTTGTAGACACCTTCCCGAGTTGTGAACTGAGTTTTAATTTCGTTCATCTCCTTCCCTCCTCCCTCCGCCGCCATCTTTGAATTTAACATTCATCTCTTTCCCCTGGGCCGGATCTTACGCACAGGGAGCGGGCATTCCGACCATATGATTATGACTCTCCCGTTCCCCCAACGGTTCAGCGGGGAACTGGTGGAGGAGGACTGCAGACTGAAGATATTTAATAACAAAGTTGCCACAGCTTTATAATTAATCAGAATTAAATTGTTCTGCAACAGTACACTAACTTTAAATTTGATATTTTATTTGATATTGGTGGTAAGTTCGGTTGTTCAACCAAACCAACGTGGACTTCTACATTAAAGTAACTTTCTTGCACACGTTTTTGGGTCGGGAACTCTTTAAATCTATATATTTGGTGAAACAAATATAAAAACAGACTGAAGGGTGGTTCACTTAACAGGGACCCATTTAAAGTTAATATATCTGCATTTTTGGTCTTTTATACAGCAGAAAGATAGCTGACTTTTAATTTGGAGAGCGATAAATCACCGGAAATATTATTTTGTTAAAATCTTGTAATGAGCTAACTAAGTGGCGTTTTAGACGTGTCAATGCTTTGAGACTGCTCACCTGACTTTGGGAACACATGGCTGCATGCGCCATATCAAAGACACCTGCTACTCTGCTGGTTAATTAATCAGCCATCTTCTCGTTACAAACAACAAAGACATATTTTACTTGTTTTAATCTATCATGGTCAAAGAAGTACAAGCGCCAAAGAAGAAGACGTCAACTGTCATTTTCAGGTATAAAGATTGGTTATTCTTTTGCAGAATTAAAACTCATCATACTTAAGTTGTATTTTGCAATACGAAGTGCATGCTAACGTTATTCATTCCATATTGTTTTTACTTTCTTCTTGTACATGATAGCATATGGCACTGCATGCTGGGATTTTTTTATTTCTATCACAATGAAATAAGAGTAGGCTACCGGTATTAACTTTTGTGGACCTTTGAATGTGGTTAAATGCAATATTGCTCTTACAAATTCACATTTTTCTCCCCAATTAGATCAAATGGAGAGACATGTGCCCAACAACATGGACCAGCTTGCCTTCAAATACATGGTACAACTTAGCCATCATCATTTTGAGAGTGCTCTGGGCTCTTTTTCAGTAGTTAAATCAAAAATCATTATACTGCTGTCTTACATTGACATAAATGTATACTTGAGTGACCTCTGTTTTTGTCAAGAGATGTGTAAAGTGTCCAGCTCTGATTCTGACTCCGAGATCAGTCCAAGGTTGTCGGACACCAGCACTATGGTAATACTTTACTTCACAATATTCACAATAACCACTTGGATAAGCTTTAGAATATATTAGGCCAAGTTCCCAAATGTTCGGATATTTTCCACAATTAATTTTATTTTAAAATGGAGTCTAATTTAGTTTATTGTACAGAAATGGAATGTTCTCCAAAAAGCATTGAGTTTTCTTGATTTTAAAAATATAAACGTGTTTTGTCAAGGCAAAAAACAATGACTTTCTTGTTGAGCAGGGTTGTGTGAGCAGTACACCAGAGAGTTTGACTTTTCGGCGGACATTGCCAATAACTCAAAAGCCTGCAGGAAGGTATAGCTGTTGCTCTTTGGTAAGCATTCCCCCTTTATTCAATTAAAGTATAGCTGCCACTACAAGGCCATGCTGCTGTCCTATTTGTTTATGAATAAATGCATGTTTGATTGCAGTTTTCGGACCCATATGATGGGAGCTCTGAGGATTCTGATGAGCCAAACATTAATGGGGGTGTCTCCAGCAGGCGATTCAAGCAGCAGGGAAAAGGTGGAGGAGGAGGCAGTCGGTTCTCGGGCAGGAGCAGAAGGTTTATCCTCAATCATCCTGCTTCTGTTTCCCTAAGGGATGTGGAGAAACATGGCATGAGAGATGCTGTATCAGACAACAATGTCCAGATGAAATGTGGGAGTGACTCTGAGATGTGTGATGATGACATTTTGACCTCACACAGAGACGGGGATGGTGGTAGAGCTCTTTCAGAGCAAATGGCCGAAGATTCAACAATGCAATCCCAAACCATGGATGTAGCTTTGCACTGTCAACTAGATGATTCCGGCTTTCATGCTACTAGATATTCCACGCCTCACATACCTGCACCTGTAACCCCAGCAGAAGTGAGTTTGTCGCAGGCGACAGATCTCTCCTCTGAGAGCTCCCCCTGCCCCTGTAACCTCAGGTCGCTTTACAAGAGAAAGCTGGGTTTCCCTGGAGCAGAAGTGGTTGAGCTGGGGCAAAGAAAGCGGCAGTGTGTTGTCAACATGGAGGACCAACAGGAAGAAAGGGACTCTGCATCTGAAACATGTTCGAGCCATCTTACCATGGACTGACACACTGAAGTACTGCAGTCATATCAGTGCCTTAAACAAGTTAAGGTAGAATGAAAGACTATCAATATTTACTTGACAATGCACTTTGTTTACTCATGTAAAAAGATCAGAGGATTTATATTTCTATCTCCAGTTATTTTGAGTGTCTGAAATCTGTCACATGTGTTGATTGTTCCTAGGCGGTCATTCTTTTTGTTGGGAGAATTACCATTGTAACGTCAGTCTCCATTATGGACTGAAGAACAACCTATGGACTGGCAATACATATACTGTATTTCTTCCATAGACCAATTAAAGAAAAAATAAGTTCTGTGAAAAAGACTTGGTTGTTTTCCCGCACAAAAGCTTCAAAAGTTACTGCTAGAAAGTGGCATTCAGCAACCAAAGCTCCACTGAACTTTAGCTAGTGGTGCCCTAATTCAAATTAAGTGTGAAATGACAAACTGAAGTTTTATTTTCTAAAAATGTATCTCAATGATGTCAAATATTTCACAAGTATTCACTAGTTCCAACCATTGTTTTGAAGCCATTTGTTTAGTTTTTAGATAGGCACAAAATATTGTTTAGTCTTGATAGTGTGATTTGTTTTGTCACATGTTAGAACCTAAATCTCATAACTTAAGGTTTGTTTCAGTCTTCTTTGTATTTTCCAATGGTGAAGTTGACTTTCTCCTTTTATCTTCCTTTTCTTGAGCAAAGACAAGTTCATCCAAACCAACAGGTAGAAGTAATCCACTGAAAACTTAATATTTTACCTTATCCTACTCTGGTTAGTTTGGCCTTCTGTATAATTTCTGATATTGAATAGGAAATAATGAGGTCTAGCAAATACAACATTTTTGTATTGTACTTTAATGAAGTTAATATAGAAGTGATTGGGTAAATTATGTGAAGCTGTCAACCATTTAATTTAGCTAAGCCTATTTTATAAACGACAAGGGAAATTCCCCCATGTTGACTTTTAAAGGCAAGGCAAGGCAAGGCAAGTTTATTTATATAGCACTTTTCAACACAAGGCAATTCAAAGTGCTTTACAAAAAATGAAAGAGATTAAGAAAATGGCATTTAAAATCAGTCATTAAAAAGAAAAGCTAATAAAATAAACATTAAAAGAAAAAAATACATGGCAGTCAATTAAACATTAAAAGAAAAAAGTACATGGATAAAAGTTACAGTGCAGTCTAAGATATGAATAGTTCAATTAAAAGCAGCGACAAAAAGAAAAGTCTTCAGCCTGGATTTAAAAGTAGTAAGAGTTGCAGCGGACCTGCAGGTTTCTGGGAGTTTGTTCCAGATATTTGGAGCATAATAACTGAACGCTGCTTTACCATGTTTAGTTCTGACTCTGGGGACAGAAAGCTGACCAGTCCCTGAAGACCTGAGAGATCTGGATGGTTCATAATTTAGCAGGAGGTCAGAAATGTATTTTGAGCCTAAACCATTCAAAGCTTTATAAACCAGCAGCAGTATTTTGAAATCTATTCTTTGACACACAGGAAGCCAGTGTAAAGACTTCAGAACAGGAGTGATGTGATCCACTTTCTTAGTGTTAGTGAGGACTCGAGCAGCGGCGTTCTGAATCAGCTGCAGCTTCCTAATAGATTTTTTAGTGAGACCTGTGAAGACACCATTGCAGTAGTCGAGTCTACTGAAGATAAAAGCATGGACAAGTTTTCCAAATCCTGCTGTGACATTAGTCTTTTAATCCTAGATATATTCTTTAGGTGATAGTAGGCTGATTTAGTAACAGTTTTAATGTGACTGTTGAAACTCAGGTCAGAGTCCATGACTACACCTACATTTCTGGCTTTATCTGTTGTTTTGAACATTGCACACTGAAGCTCAGCGCTAACTTTTATACGTTCTGACTTGGCTCCAAAAACCATTACCTCAGTTTTATCTTTGTTTAATTGGAGAAAGTTCTGACACATCCAGTCATTGATTTGATTTGATTTAAAGTCATCCGTTTCCACATTTGTGTCCAATTTATCATCACAGACAACATTGAAGTCATTAAAGCATTTTTATTTGATTCCAACATACTTTATTCGATCTAAAAACATACAGTTTCCTTCATAAAAACTAACTTTCAACTTTCCTTTTCAACATTTCATCTCCTCTTCATTTACCATCTGACAACTTCTCTCTTTACCTTCCAAAAACACTATCATAGCTACGAGTAAATTACTGCTCCACAATTTATTTTAACTACGTTTTATATTGGAATGCAACAGGCTACAAACTACTTTCTAAATGGTGGTTAATAAGCAATACATGTAAGGGATTATGTGGTTTAATAATCAAGACGCTGGTCTTGAGGAATGTTCCATCTACTCGGTGCACAGGACAGCAACTCCACGCTCATAGAAGCTGTGTGGATCTTCTTTGGTGGCGATGTCAAAGTCCACGGTGAAGATGAGATCTGACCTTGTGAAGTTCAGGTACACAGGAAGACACACCTGCAAGAGAAATAAAAAATAAATGAGGAGGTGGCCAAAATCATTTCAGTAAGACATATTGTCCTAAATAGTCTCTCTGCATGGATTATTTGATAAAAACGAAGCTATATATTGTGTAAAAACATCTTGTTCGTACCATGTGTCTCTTCTCAGTGCTGCATTGCTTGACCCAGTGGAGCTGAGTGAGAGGCAGCTCAGTGGAGATGGTGGTGGACAGCGACAGCTTGTTGTTGGCACAAGTAGCTCCCTGCAGTTT